ACACTGCTAAATTAGGGACGGCTAGCACAGATAGCCCTCGTGTAGCTTTGCGCGAAATTAAAAAAAAAACAAAAAAAAAAAAGAAAAGACACGCAAACGGGTTCTGGCCCCCTATGTCTTTCCCGTGCGTTGAACGAGTACATCAACTAGCATTATTAGAAAAACTGGCGAACCGGCAAGCTAGTCTTGTTGAATCCAAAGTGTGTTAAGCAACAGCAGCGTTAAATGAAGAAGACTAAATTATTAATTAGAACATCTGAGTTAAAGTTTTAAACATGGCCTTAGAGAATGATCAAATTTTGAAAAGCTCCCCCCCCCAAAAAAAAACACAACAAAAAACAACAACGTCAGAATGGCATGGTTCGTTATTTAGAATGAATTTTATTTATTTATTTTTCCTGAAAAAATCGCAGTGATCTCTTCAACGTACAGATAAAATACTTTTTATATGTTTAATTGTATTTTGTACTGGATAATAAGATATTGAAATATGTTTGAATCACAATTGACTAAATTTCACTACTTAGTTTCTAACACCTCATTCCCCTCCACACGTGAGTATCATTTATGAAATATTTACTTATTAAAAATACAACTAAGTATCACCGAGACTTTTTTTTAGTGACATTTCAAAATTTTCCCTTTTACTTTATCGGCAGGAAACGATCCACAGGCTTACAGTAGAATATATCCTTCGTTATAATAAAGCTTATCAACCTTGTTTAGACTAGATCAATTAGCTGAAATAATCCTCAGTGTTATAATAAACCCTATCAACCTTGTTTAGACTAGATCAATTAGCTGAAATAATCCTCAATGTTATAATAAACCTTATCATTCACGACCTCAATCTGTTATAATAAACCCTATCAACCTTGTTTAGACTAGATCAATTAGCTTAAATAATCCTCAATGTTACAATAAACCTTATCATTCACGACCTACATATGTTATAATAAACCCTATCAACCTTGTTTAGACTAGATCAATTAGCTGAAATAATCCTCAATGTTACAATAAACCATTCAGAACTTAGACCAGTTAACCCTATATCAACTTGGTCTTAGACCAGATTATTGTTTAGTAACAATCTTTGAACAAAACACACACCTTTTGCTTTGTGAAAATGATTGGCCATAAATGATCCTCATTCTCAAAGTAAACAATATCAACTGGGATTTGAATCAGATTAGTGATCGGAAACCATCCTTTATATCATATTAAACCTTACCAGACTAACTTTAAACCAATACAATGTCCATACAAACTCTTGATTCTACAGAAAACTTTACAAGCCTGACTTTATTTCTGATCGTTGTTCATAAATTATCTTCAATCTTGCAATAAATTTCACTAAATTAAACATTTAATAGGTCAAAAGCAATATCATTACAATTTTCATTTTCTTTAGAGTTGATTATCGATCAGAAACCATCATTAATCTCATTATAAGTCTTAGCAAACTGGCTCTCGGTGAGTTCGGGTATCAGAAACTTCCCCCAATCTCATAATAAACCTTACTAATGTGGCTTTAGACCAGATCACTAAATTATCCCAAGCCCTTATCAACCTGTAGGTTTAAAAGACCTGAATGGCCATAAGCATGTAACAAACTTTTATAATATGACTGCAGAGCCGACCAATAGGAAAAAACGATTATAAAGCACTTCAGAGCCGACCAATAGGAAGAACCGATTGTAAAGCACTTCAGAGCAGACCAATAGGAAAAACCGATTGTAAAGCTTCTAACTGACTTTATCAATTTAATCAATCAATTTATGAATTATTGGAAGCTACCCCTGTTCTTTAATAAGCCTTATGAACGTGGTTATCTGTCCAGTGGTCAAGGTTAATATAAATTTTACAATAAACCATTACAAGATGACTTTAGATCTGACCCATGTTCGACAACTATTCTAAGTATTGTGACTGATATAATCTGGCTAGAATTGCAGAGATCATGTCTCGAGAACAGTGCTTCAAACTTAGGGGGGAGGGGGTATCCTGGGAGAGGTTTGTACCTTTGGTGCACTCCAGTTTTCTATATTTAATGATAGTGGCACATGTGACCTTTTACCCTGTGTGGGTGTGAATGTATGAGGGTTAAGTATAACAGACAAAACAAGGAGAGGAGGAGGATGCCTAATATACTGATAACCATTGTAGCATTAGTTTATACATAACATTTTAAAGTCAGACTGATTTATTATCAAATACACTTGCTATAGTAATGGCTTTATGCTGTAGCTACTGTATAACCTAAACTATGAAGGTTAAGTATGATGTTTATTTTGGTAAGTTGTAAAGACACTTGCTATAGTAATGACTTTATGCTGTTGCTCCTGTATAACCTTAACTATGAAGGTTAAGTATGAGGCTTATTTTGGTAAGTTGTAAAGACACTTGCTATAGTAATGACTTTATGCTGTTGCTACTGTATAACCTAAACTATGAAGGTTAAGTATGAGGCTTATTTTGGTAAGTTGTAAAGACACTTGCTATAGTAATGACTTTATGCTGTTGCTACTGTATAACCTAAACTATGAAGGTTAAGTATGAGGCTTATTTTGGCAACTTTCTCTTTTAGGACGCTCGTCCGCTTTGTGTCACTACCATTGACGTTTTGTTTTTACGTCGTTGTCAGTATCTGTCAACACACAGAAGAATAGCAACTTATTTGCTGACAAATGTTTACCACATTTCAGAAGTCAACTTTCTTCTTCTCACATAGGTCACCAGCCCCCCAGTAAGTCTGGAGGCTTATAACGCTAAAAACGGGGTTTCGATTCTCGTGGTGGGCGCAGCACAAATAGCCCACTTTGTAGCTTTGCGATTAAAACAAACGAACACGATAAAGCTGTAAACATTCAGACAGTAACTGGGAAAACTTACCTGAAATGTTGTACAATGAACTTTGGATAAGGTTTTCTTCTGTTGTCTTCAGCTCCTCGTTCTCTGCTTTATCGTGATCCTCATAAAGTAACCGCTCATGTGGTGGAATGTCTACAGTCACAAACATAGATTAAAGTTGCTTTATTGTGACTCTCATAAAGTAATAGCTCGTGTGGTGGAATATCTACAGTCACACACTGATTAAAGTATTGTCGAAGCAAGAAATCTTTACCAACAAATTAGGCTTAGTGATTCTTACTTTAAAATATCTTATTTTTCTTATTTCTTTATTTGTATATTTGATAATTATTTTAAAAGGAAGATGACATTTCCTCCACACATAAAAAACCTATAAAAGTTTGTTTTAAGTCTAAACAACTGTGGTAATTATTTATTTATTACCTTTAATATGGCGTTTCAAGTTTATTATAGTAACCTAGAAAGCAAGTGATTGAAGACTTTGTTTATATTGGCAGAATCACACGTGTTTAAAATAGCTACAAGGATTGAGGGCGAGTTCTGAACCAGTTTTTTTATATTTTTCTTCTCTCTCTTCCGCCACTAAGCTCTTCATCTAAAAAAAACTATAATCAAATAGTAAACATTTCTGGAACAAGTTTTTATGCGGTTTCTAATTAAGCCTAACCCTTCTAACATGTGTCAGTACCACTAAGTTTATACGATCAGTTTGTGAGAAAGATAACAGTTTATCACTTTTTAATGAACATGAATTTCGTAATTCTTTTCCACTGGTATTTCAACAAACATCCACCGATCAAAATATTTCTGTTCAGTTTGTTTTTTTTTTCTTTTTTTGTAGCTCCTTAACAGCGAGTTTTAAAGTGATGCCGTAAAATAAACAACAGGAGTTATTTATTCTCTAACCAGAAATTATTGCATATTTAATTGAAAACAATAATTCCTAAAGGATAGTCATAAAAGAAATTTAATGATGAATTTTGCGGGATTGACAAGTGACCTTAACGCATTTCTCATATATAATTATAGGCCTAAAAATGAGTCTTTTTAACAACATGATGTTGATACAACTATGCACATCCCGGGTATAGGAATGATATACATATATAGCACAATGCAGCCATCCATCATAATCAAGGAGATTCTTACGATAATCATCATAATTAATTGAAAGGTAGTCTATCAGGGGTTTTGTAAAGTTATTTATTATAGTTTGTTTGTTTTTGAATTTCGCGTAAAGCTACACGAGGGCTATCTGCGCTAGCCGTCCCTAATTTTGCAGTGTAAAGCTAGAGGGAAGGCAGCTAGTCATCCCCACCCACCATCAACTCTTGGGCTACTCTTTTACCAACGAATATTGGGATTGACCGTCACATTATATCGCCCCCACGGCTGAAAGGGCGAGCATGTTTGGTGGGACGGAGATTCGAACCTGCGACCAATAGATTGCGAGTCGAGTGCCCTAACCACCTGGCCATGCCGGGCCTATTTATTATAGACTAATATTACTCAAAACAGTGGTCCCTAATCTTTTTCTAGTCCACAAACCGGCTAAATATTTATTAAAAGTTTTCGAACCATTGAGAATAAGCCTAAAAGACATACAGAATCTAGGTGTGAAATAACTTAAAAGTTAGTGTGTTTGTAACACGATTGTTTAATATGAAAGGAATTGCACATATATTTAACTATCATCGTTATATATTTCTTGTCTCTCTCTCTTTTTCTTTTACTGGTTATTTCTGCAAAAAATACTGGCCTGAAATACACTTCACTTCTAATAACAAATCTTTAATAATTATACAGAAATAAATCATGTTTTTTTTTTCTCGTGGCATGTAGGTTTGTTTAAACTACGGTCTACCTACCTGATTCGTCGCTAAACTTTCGAACTCCTGACATATCCAAATAGATGTCGTTTTCTTCCACGACCGGTGTCGTTGGTAAAGGTGTGACGTCGAGTTTGCCAAGATGAGATGGAAAA